ATCGTGACAAGAAGTCTTGGGGAGGGATGACTGTGAAGCTGAGAATACTCTTGCATGTAAGGTTTAGGGGGGGGGAAGTTTAAAAAATGACTTGGAATCGTGACAAGAAGTCTTGGAGAGGGGAGACTGTGAAGCTGAGAATACTCTTGCATGTAAGGTTTAGGGGGGGAGTTTTAAAAATGACTTGGAATCGTGACAAGAAGTCTTGGAGAGGGGAGACTGTGAAGTTGAGAATACTCTTGCATGTAAAGGTTTAGGGGGGGAAGTTTAAAAAATGACTTGGAATCGTGACAAGAAGTCTTGGGGAGGGGAGACTGTGAAGTTGAGAATACTCTTGCATGTAAGGTTTGGGGGGGGAAGTTTTAAAAATGACTTGGAATCGTGACAAGAAGTCTTGGAGAGGGGAGACTGTGAAGTTGAGAATACTCTTGCATGTAAGGTTTGGGGGGGGAAGTTTAAAAAATGACTTGGAATCGTGACAAGAAGTCTTGGAGAGTGGAGACTGTGAAGTTGAGAATACTTTTGCATGTAAGGTTTTAGGGGGGGAAGTTTTAAAAATGACTTCGTATCGTGACAAGAAGTCTTGGGGAGGGGAGACTGTGAAGTTGAGATTACTCTTGCATGTAAAGGTTTAGGGGGGGAAGTTTAAAAAATAACTTGGAATCGTGACAAGAAGTCTTGGAGAGGGGAGACTGTGAAGTTGAGATTACTCTTGCATGTAAAGGTTTAGGGGGGGAAGTTTTAAAAATGACTTGGAATCGTGACAAGAAGTCTTGGGGAGGGATGACTGTGAAGCTGAGAATACTCTTGCATGTAAGGTTTAGGGGGGGGAAGTTTAAAAAATGACTTGGAATCGTGACAAGAAGTCTTGGAGAGGGGAGACTGTGAAGTTGAGAATACTCTTGCATGTAAGGTTTAGGGGGGGGGAAGTTTAAAAAATGACTTGGAATCGTGACAAGAAGTCTTGGGGAGGGGTGACTGTGAAGCTGAGAATACTCTTGCATGTAAGGTTTGGGGGGGAAGTTTAAAAAATGACTTGGAATCGTGACAAGAAGTCTTGGAGAGGGGAGACTGTGAAGCTGAGAATACTCTTGCATGTAAGGTTTAGGGGGGGAGTTTTAAAAATGACTTGGAATCGTGACAAGAAGTCTTGGAGAGGGGAGACTGTGAAGTTGAGAATACTCTTGCATGTAAAGGTTTAGGGGGGGAAGTTTTAAAAATGACTTGGAATCGTGATAAGAAGTCTTGGAGAGGGGAGACTGTGAAGTTGAGAATACTCTTGCATGTAAGGTTTGGGGGGGGAAGTTTTAAAAATGACTTGGAATCGTGACAAGAAGTCTTGGGGAGGGGAGACTGTGAAGTTGAGATTACTCTTGCATGTAAGGTTTTAGGGGGGGAAGTTTAAAAAATGACTTCGTATCGTGACAAGAAGTCTTGGGGAGGGGTGACTGTGAAGTTGAGATTACTCTTGCATGTAAAGGTTTAGGGGGGGGAAGTTTAAAAAATGACTTGGAATCGTGACAAGAAGTCTTGGAGAGGGGAGACTGTGAAGTTGAGAATACTCTTGCATGTAAAGGTTTAGGGGGGGAAGTTTAAAAAATGACTTGGAATCGTGACAAGAAGTCTTGGGGAGGGGAGACTGTGAAGTTGAGAATACTCTTGCATGTAAGGTTTGGGGGGGGAAGTTTTAAAAATGACTTGGAATCGTGACAAGAAGTCTTGGAGAGGGGAGACTGTGAAGTTGAGAATACTCTTGTATGTAAAGGTTTAGGGGGGGGAATAGTTTCCTAATCGTAGTTTCCTAATCGCGCGGAATAGTTTCCTAATCGTAGTTTCCTAATCGCGCGGAATAGTTTCCTAATCGTAGTTTCCTAATCGCACGCAATAGGTTCCTAATCGTAGTTTCCTAATCGCACGCAATAGGTTCCTAATCGTAGTTTCCTGATCGCGCGGAATAGTTTCCTAATCGTAGTTTCCCAATCGCGCGGAATAGTTTCCTAATCGTAGTTTCCCAATCGCGCGGAATAGTTTCCTAATCGTAGTTTCCTAATCGCGCGGAATAGTTTCCTAATCGTAGTTTCCTAATCGCACGCAATAGTTTCCTAATCGTAGTTTCTTATTCGCGCGGAATAGTTTCCTAATCGTAGTTTCCCAATCGCGCGGAATAGTTTCCTAATTGTAGTTTCCCAATCGCGCGGAATAGTTTCCTAAGCGTAGTTTCCTAATCGCGCGGAATAGTTTCCTAATCGTAGTTTCCTAATCGCACGCAATAGTTTCCTAATCGTAGTTTCTTAATCGCGCGCAGTAGTTTCTAAATCGCGCGGCATAGTTTCCTAATCGTAGTTTCGTAATCGTAGTTTCTAAATCGCGTATAGTTTCCTAATCGTGCAATGTCCCCCGGAAATGGAGGATTCTTTTCTGGCTGTATCTGAAAATTGGGAAAACGCCCCCCAAAAAATTACCGTGCACTTGGGGAAAACAGGTTTTTAACATACTTTAATTAACATCTTAAAACCATCAAAAATGTATAAAAATGTATGTGTTTTCCCCCTAAATTTCCTGACAACCGCAGCTGGGAGTCTGCCAAACTCGGGACGCGGACGACGCGGGCTGGAGTTGGAGGCTTCGAGGTTCTCTCGCAACTGACTCACCACCCAATGCCTCAGCTGGATTTTGAAGTGAAACATGTTGTGCAAATGGAACCAAATATCTTACCATCTGGTTATTTAAGATAGCTATGGAAAATCCCTTGTAAACGGAGGTTTTAATAGGAAAATCATCTGTAAACTGGTAGATAGTTGCCCACATAGACTTGATTTGGTTCTGTGCAATATCAGCTATTCTTCCGTTCATGGTTAAAAACGACAAAGAAGTCGTGAACGAATCACAGTGAGGCTTGCACAGAAGCCATATGCGTACCAACACTGATGAGCACCGAAGTTACTAAAAAAAGTGAGGCTCAGAACACCAATAATCTCCTGGCAAACCGAAACGAAAACCATCATTGAGGGAAAACCATCTGCCAATCCTTGCAGGCTTCGTTTCACTCTCCCGAGAGTACAAGTACCTGCTCTTCCCAAGTGTGAACCAAAAAGTGGAAGGGATTGTATCTACCTCAATGTGACAGACCGTAAAATGTAAACAGGTTTCCTTGTATTTCCTTTGCTATCATCACCCAAATTGGTTTGTCACAATACTGTACATTTTGATGAATCCTACAATACTACATAAACCACATTTGAGAACATTTGAGATGCATACAGTCATAATATAGTAACCCCAAAAAATGACGTATCTTACAACCAATTAAATTAATAGTGAATTACTTTCCAAATTATTTTTTGACGTTATCATATATCATCATTTATCCATGTGGGTCTGAACATGGTGCATACCGAATACCCACCAAAAAACAACTTTTGATAACATAACATAACAGGCTTACATAACCGACACAACCAATGGATTTAGAGGTACCAATGCGGTACCCTTTCAGACAAACCCATCGTGGTCCCATGCCGTTCCATCTGGGTCCCATAACCCCACGTTCTTCAGCGTGTGGAGCGAGGACAGGGTCAAATTATCTGGCGGCGAAAATAAGCCAGGCGCAGGAAGACTCAGATCTCACCAAGGGATATGTCATCTGTGTCTCAAAATGGGGGAATACGCAACAATTGTCATTTTCATTGGGAACATGGGCCACCTGATTTTGGGGTCCTTTTTTTTTTGACAAACCCAAATAGTGCGTTGAACTGTGGATCGAAGCTAAGAGAAACCAACAAGTGGCTGTGGTTGTCATGCCTGGTTGATTCATATTTGATCTGAAACCCAATAGAATCTGCATTTTGTAAGTGATCATACTGTTGCTGTCAATGGTTGGTTTATCTAGCTTATCATTGTTTATTACTAGACTACACCTCCATTGTTGATGGTCGAATCTCCAATCAATTCTGTCTCATTGCATCTCGATATGTAGTTGGGTCAGTTGGGTAGATATGCCCCCCTTAGACATTCACCAAGTGACTAATCAACAATCCTTGTTTTCCTCATATTACCACACATGGTATTATGATCATCTCCATCATATGATCAATCATTTTACCTTCAGGGTCAGGTTGAGTTCTGCAAAGAAGTTTTGCGATGACGGCATATCTTGTGCAAATATGTGCAAATATTCAGCAAAATCAGAAATTCTCATAACTTGTGGTATCATAACAATCCTCAAGAAACCAATGAACCATCCAACTTCATTATTGTTGGAAAAACATCGCCGTAATTCACCAGTTTCATCCAGATACTATCTGACTTTACTATCTATCATCATCAATGGTATCATAACAATCATTGTAAAATTAATCAAATAAATCAGAGCAATTTGTGATAACAAACATGTCTGATCGTTTCAAAATTTCCGATTTCGTAATATACACGAGAATCATTGTATCACAATCAATTTAATCAATTCAGATTCAGATTCACTGAACATGTGTATATATATATATATCTTATATAAACATGTTGATGAACTATTTTGCTTATAAATGGTTATGTTGTACAACCATTTGTACGTTGGCTATATAAATTAAATTTAACCATATATCATATATCAATATATATATATATCACTCAACATGTATCCAATGATATCCCCATGTATAAGATCAACTTAGTATTTACTATCAAATATAACTGTCACTCATTCGCCATTTTTCCCTGATTCCCATTGTTTTTCCACAGATACTATTAAGCACTCATGTGTTTCCCATCTGTTAGTGAAAATAAAAGCATTGGTAGCCATTAATCACAAACTATTAAGCACTAATGTTTTCCTAATGTAATTAGTTAGTTATTAGTGATTCGTGATTAGTGATTAATTCTTTCCTGATATTATTACTAATTGGGGTAACCTTTTTTTTCGACAAAAGGACTGCAAGCCAAATCATTAACGCCGCCTCTGCAAGCTCAACGCAGAAGTCCCACAAGGCCAAAAGAATGTTGGGATAACGATCACGATTCATTGGTATCGTGATTTAGCATTTAGCAACATGATATTTACCATGCTAGTGCTATTACCATAAATATCCATAAATATCATTAATGGGGTTGCTATCCATAAATCACAATAATATAACCATAATCCTATCCAAATTATGGCTATTACAATAATTGTCCCAATGATATCCCAATTATACTATTACCAATTTTGGCTTGTTATTGCAATAATATCTCAATTTTTGTTATTATCATTATTGGTATCGGTATATTCTGGATATTACCAACCCATAATATCACCATAATAACTTGGATTTGCTTAAGGGGTCCCCAAACAATAAAAAACATATTCACTATCGGTTCCCCACATGGTGGATTGTCCATTGTGAAAATTAAAAAAACACCTTAAACAAACCCAGGATAATATAACTATGTTATCCATGATACCATAATATCATAAAACATTAATATCATAACCATAACCAAAAAAACATGATAATGATATTACCCCATTATACCATAATACCATTATATTATACCCATTATATCTGGTTATTATAATACCCATCATCTATCACTATCAGTAGTATCCATAATATCCAACAATAGTATATTATCCATAAATATCAAAAACCATAGATATTATCCACAATATCCATTACTATAATGATATACCCATGTATATTAACATTAATGGTGATAACCATAGTCATCATTGCTGTCGGTGACTTGCCAAGCCCCAAGCCCCAAACACCTCCCCGCAGCGGCACACCTCCCCGCGCCAGGCTCTCCTGCACCGCCTTCTTGGCCTTGCGCAGCGCCGGCGCCTCGAGATGGATGGGAAAAGCCATGGGAAAACCATGGGAAAACCATGGGAAAAGCCAGGGAAAATGATGGAAATGCCATGGATAATGAAACATGTGGTTTTAAAACGAGGGGACATGACCGGAAAAGCAATGAAGAATGATGAACCAATAATGGTTTGGTAAGGTTGGACATTGGAAATTCATAGAAGATATGCGCTAGAGAACATCAAATGCAGCATCCCGGCAACGAACAGGTCTTGCATGTTTCAAAGCCCAGCAATACCCTGGGAGGCCTAGATTTCTACGAACCAAGATGTGCAGGGAGAAATGACGAACCCCCTCCGATCAGAAAATATATAGTACTACAATTACTACAAGGAGGTATCTTTAGTGTCCAGTTGAAGGATCATTCACCTGGACCACAAACTGGCAAGGACAGATGACTACGATGTCTATCATCATCTGTAGGTTTGTCTGAATATAAGGAACCTCAAACTTCATGGGGTTCCAGTCAGTATAGCAATCTCATTAGATCTCACTGGTATACGGTATCTCCCACTTTCAGATCTCCGTCTCAGCCCGAAAGCTATTGACCGATTCCGTGGTTCCGGGCATGGTGTGCATCTTGACCGGTATTCTGGTGCCGGGCTACGGCCTGTGCATGGACCTTAGGAGTCACAGCTCGCAGAACTTGTGATACTTGGGTTTGTCTGAAACTCGTGGCCGCCACATCCGCCAAATGGCAATGAAATGGGGAACATGATAATAATATATAATAATCTATTGGGATAGGGGTTGACCTTCAGACAATCCCATATGATCTGTTAGGATTTCACCTAGTGGAAAGATGACCAATACCTTACATCCAGTTCAACACAGTGCCTGAAACGAAAAACACATCCAACGAATGATTTTGAACAACTCATTTTCCCATCAAACATGACCATTAATTGGGTGTAGACGGTCTCCGCTCGATTTTCGCATCCAACGTGTCTCCGCACTTTGTCGAAGACCTCCAATAACTCAGACGCACGAGGATCCGCAGGATCTGCCGACCTGCGAATTTTAGGCCTGGTGACATGCAGCATGACCACCATATTTACCAGCTGCTACACATCCAAGATCATCCAAGCATCCCCAGTTTCTTTTTGTTTTGTCGGTTGTTTGTTGGTTGAATGGCGGGATGGGTGGTATATCTATATCTAGAATTATCATGACTTGTCTATATAGATGGACTTCAAAACGGGTAGAAACATGTATAAATCAACTTCTGGGGGACATCGGAAGCCTCACCAAAATGATGATAGCTCAAGGGTTGAGATGATGATGCTCGGCACCCTGGGCTTCACTGATACCTTGTCTGCCAAAAAATCCATTCCTATGGCCATAAACATCCTATGAACATGAATAGAATCCATTGCTTAATAGAATGATATGTTATTGTAACATAATAGAATATTATCAATAACCACGTTCTAACCCCGCAAGTATTGGTCCTTTATCACTATAATATACTATAATCCAATAAAAACATATTTAAACCTATTAGTTTCATCCCAGAGCGGCTACAGAAACCCATCCAGAAATGCTGCAAAACCTCTGTGTGTTCTCCGGCTCGACGGCAACGCCTCGCGCAACATTCGAGTTCTCGGTCCAGGGAGCGAGACGCAAGTTCTGGGAGTTGCACAACTGGTTGAAATCAATCAAACATGGTCCCATCAATGGGAAAAAACCATGGGATTTCAACCAATTCTTGAAACACCAGTTGATTTCAAATGGTGAGTTTTGAATCAAATCAATCACATGTTTTTGGATGCCGAGAATCCCAGGTAGAACTTCTGAATCTATCTAAATGCCCCGTTGATATAGATCTATCTGAATCAAAAACTTCGATAAATCTATCTAAACTTATCCAGTATCAGTTAGATCAGATCTATTTTTTGGTGATTTATATCTCTGAATCTATCTAAATATATAAATCCACTATCTAATGTTCACGAAAAAAGTCTCCAGTTTCAGATCTCGCCACACCCTTGGCGCTTCTCCTGCCTGCCACTTCGCCTCGCAAGCGCTTCTCAGCTGCGGCGGCCGCCAGGCGTCGTCTGCGCAGCCCATATATTCAACATAGCTATGGAAAATGGCTAAATTATATAGATGATATATAAACATATTTTTTTAACAATGTGATTTACCTATTAACAATAATTGCTATTTCCAATATTTTCCAATAATTGCTATTTTCCATTATTTTCCTATTTTCCTATTTTCCATGGTATTCTATGGTTCTCCATATAGTTAATATGTTGACCTCCTTTAAGATCTCCATGGCTGGTTCACATGCCCTCAAATTGCGCAAACCAATCGTCAAAAGATGTTGGTACACCATGCTGGTCATCTTTCCAGCCTCTGCGATTGATCCATACCGGGGGGAGCCGACAAATGCACGGACGTTGATGACGTTGTGACACTACCTTTGGGTTCCACTCGAACTGTCGAAACTTGCTGCGCTGCTTCTTCGTCATGGTTAAAAGTTGAGGAGCGTTTTGTTCGGAAGCTTGGTCAGTCCTCATGATGAAAAAGGGAACCTCTAGAACATCTGTGAGGGACTTGTCCAAACATGATCGAACCTCTGGAACAAAATCGAAATGCAATACATCCTCAATCTTTAAGAGTTGGATTGGACATATTTGCATCAAATGACAGCTCTTGCTTTCAAAGCCAAACGGCTGAGACAGGTTTGTAGAGAAAGCACCGTCGTTGGCAACACGCTATTTCCCAAAGGCAAGCCATTTCATGTCACATGAAGCCAAGTAGAAACAACGCGCTTGGCAAGCCACCTAATAGGGTCACAACCCACGATGCAGTGGCGGAGGGTGAACCTTGATGTCTCTGTGCACAACCTTCTGCTTGTGTAGGTATTCGAGAGCCGACTGCGAGAAATGGCCGGATCAGAACGCAATTTTTGGTTCTTGAGACCGTGAGGGCATTAGAAAGTCGCAAGCTCAAGAATGGCTTCTCACACGACATAAACTGACAACAAGACGCTGGATCACATGTCAAGTTTTAAGTTGATGGTGAGCCAATTCACACATGAAAGTCATCTAACGAGGACGACCTGCATGCTGGATGCTGCAATGCAAGCACTAGAAGAATACAATCGGGATCCTAAACACAAGAAAGTGTATGACATTAGTTTGTTTTTTGACTTTCCATGATACACAATCATAAATGAATCATAGATTCTGCTTCTATTCTCTAGAAGCACGGTTCAAAAGGAACACACTTAGTATTGTGTTGCATTGCGAATTAAATTAAGCTTGAAGCTTGCTCATCAACCATCAACCACAAAATGAAACATATGGGAAATCCACCCAGCTACAGTATTTCTAGGGAAGGTTGGTAATGAATTCACCCCAGTAAAACACCATCATGGCATTTGTCACCTGAACCCCGTTTGTAGCTGATATGCCTTTCCCTTTTCACCAGTGGTTTCCTCATCAAACATGACCAATTACATGGATCATGTCTTGGGCACCGCGGGTTTGAACCAATCGCCTTTTTTTAACGTACATCATGATCATCATCATCATCATCATCAATAAATGATCGTAGAATCTTTATATTTCTTTATATCATCTATCATTTATTGATGATAGTTATATCAGTTATATCAGTTATAATATCTATATATTAGATGATGTTACATCCCACCCATCCCAGCCAGTCCGTTCGTCCGGTACCGTTCGTCCCCGGCACACCAAGACGTGGCGCGTGGCGATGATGGCTTGTAACTCCGTGAAGCCCCGCCCAGTAAGCTGGCAGGTCCGGCTGAGTGGCGAGGGTTCACCATCCAAAATATGGGGATTTCTTTGCGAAGAGGGGGATTTGACTATTGAACTACTATGTTGAACTCATCATTATCCATTTTTTATCCATTTATGTTCCAATATAGACAGAACTATTAAAGTTGAAATGTTATTGTCAAAAACGACGATTGACCCATTAAACATGGGACTTAAGCCAGCAAAACTGGTAGATTTAATTACCAAGAAAGAGGGTTTGCCAGCAAAGATGGCGAATGCCATTGGCTCGATTTTCCAGGGCAAATCTGAAGGTAACCTGATGGTTTTCACTATCAACTGTTTTTCTGGCAAACCTTCCTTCAAACAGATTCTGGATGGTACAGAACTGCATCATGGATGATATAAGCGGACAGGCAACCTTTTGTTTTTAACTCGTAGCAAATCCAGGCAATGCGTATCAGTTCCATTTTGACCCATCTTAACGCATTGTGACAACATACGGGATCTTGTGAAATTTGGGTACCCTTTGTCATTTTCCCTATGCCTTCCTCATGTAAAATACATGAGACATAACTTGGATGATAACTTAGGGCCCCCCATGTTAAGAACCCCCCAAATCTTCATCAAAATGGCTATGTCTTGGCTCTTTTAGGGGTGTATAATCCCTTAGAATCATTCAACGAATAATTGGTTTATCTGGGGATGGGTCAAAACCCTATCCCCCTGGTGAACATCAATGGATGTTCATCCCTCTAAAAATGGTATGTATGTATAGGTATTGATCCATAGCCATCTCATTTATCAACTACATCCCTACAATTTCCAGGGTTGAAACCCTGATGGTTCAATCAGAAAAACCATGGCCCCGAAGGCATCGCCATCGCCCCGTCGCGACCTTTGACTGGGCCACGATGGAGTCAAAGAGATCGCCGCCACGGCAATACCTGAGATTCCCAGCCTGACTAGCCTGACTAGTGCTATGGTGATATGATGGGGATGTTATGATTAATCAATATTAATTAGAAATAATATAGTGATTATTGTTATTGATATTATGGTGATACTAATTATGTAATGTAATAATCAAATATCATTAATGACTAGTGACTAGTGGTGATTATTGCTATTGATAGTGATATTATGGGGAAATACCCTCTCGTAATTTCACAGTTTGCTATTGAACATGGCCCATTTAGCTGGTTGATTTACCCATGAAAGATGGTGATTTCTCCATAGCTATGTTAGTTTACCAGATGGTAGTGCTTACCAATATTTGCTACGGTGAACACTGGCAAACAGTGGTGTTTGCTCAAGTGAAATCCAATGTGTTGATGATGAACCCACTTGAGTTTGTTTTGTTTTTGGAGAATGAAACATATCTATCTGCGGATGGTGAAGCAATTGTTTTTCGGAGAATGGTGTCAGGACATGTTACGCCAAGACAAAGACGGGTCGAACCATGTTTTAAACTTATCAACATGATGTTGAAGCCGACAAACTCTGGGATAATCCAGAATCAGAACGTAAGTTAATTCAGACATATGATAAGTAAATGGGATATTAACCCATGGTAGTAATCATATGTTAGTAATATATCATGTTAATATCATTGTTTCTACCAAGTAATCATATGATATTACTACCATTCTACCATGATATTAAGTAACTGGATTCAGGAAGATAGTTATGATGTTGATGACTACCCCATGCCTCTCCAACAGCCATCGATTGTGAAGTAGATCCGCATCTGATGGGACATTTACCACACAGAACGCAGCTTTTTTGTGCATTGGGATTTGTGTGTTTAAGTATTCTACAAGTATTCTGAGGTTCTATGATATTCTTTGATATTCTATGATATTCTACGGGTGTTGCAGATGGTCAAACCACAAAAACGGAATCCATGGATGGAGAAGGATAACAGTCCAAGCATTCCAGGTCCAGTGCTGGTGTAGATGGATGTTCATCCTCCCAGTCATGTGTAGTTATAGGCGCTGACCAATGCCCGATATTGGTCTTCAGATGACTTGGAAATCAGTTGTATACCCATCGAGAAGATACCGCTGTACGTTCTCAATGATCGGGAATCAAACATACATCATGATGAGCATCAAACACAGGGTCCAAGAAGTAACTATGTGCTGTGCTACGGCAGATCTGGAATAGCAAGAAGTTCTCAAAAAGCATGGCTCCATTGCTCAAACAAATCATCTTAACAACTTATATAAATCTTATGTTACTACATCCATCTACATCCACATTTTTCATGTTTGTCCATCATAATTTGGTCATCCTCCAAAACCGTCACCGGTTTTTGGATGGTTTTTCCTAAGGTTTTCCAATGGTTTCCTGCAGATTTCTGCCAAGTCCAAACCCCAAGGCACTCCAAGATTAGCGTCACCGTGCTGGGCTCGTCAAAATATTCCAAGAGCTGAGCGCAAAAGTGGACTGATGGAGGGAACAGCGAAGACTGATTTATCACTCATATCAATCTGATAATCTGATATAATACGTGTGTATATATAATACAGTGTGTACATATATATATATATATGTATATGATTGTATATGTATATATGAAATGATATGAATGTAGAGAGAGATAATATAGTTTCAACTTTCAACAATCTAATAACTGCAATGGACACTCAGGTTACAAAATCAGTTTCAATCTGATATAGCAATATCTGGATACTATCACTATGTAATATCATATACTGCAGAACAGCATATAGCAATGGAAACTCACCCATTGACAGGTGAGTTTCCCACTAAAAGCATTTAGAGGGATTTTTCATGAACTTTCAATTGCCATGTTTGATTACCAGAGGCAGATAATATACGTTCAACCCTGAACTTTCTGAGTACTGCAAGGTCCTTACGCCGGATCTGACATGCAGAACAACACGGAACCACTCTCACCAGTGGAAATCGCAACCTGTACATACTGTAGTAGTTCCGAAACCATTGTTTTATCCAAGAAAAATAGTGTCATGCAATGCATATCACATATTATCACCTTCATGAATACACATCCACAATTATGATTAGCTTTGCATCCATCCCAGTCTTGCAACAATAGTCGTTAGTCAGACATAGTCATCATCCCAATAGAGATGGTCTTACTTTGGGTGGAAAATATTGAGCATTGGTACCTCTAAATCCCATGCAGCATCATGTTACCCGTAGATTTTGGGATACTTGGGGTTTACGTGGGCATACCGGCATAGCGCAGAGGGCGGTCCCAAAAGCGGCATAGGGCATACCCCATTTTCGGACGACCAAAACTCTCAGTTTGGCCTCGCAAATGTGGTCGTGCTTCATGGTGAGGTGCAACTTCACCTGCAAACGGCCGGCGTGGGGATTTGCCCTTTTTTTTGGGGAAGATATGGGGGGATGAGCATCCATAAATCTCAAGTATTTTGGGGTGACCGGGATACCTGGGTTTGATCCCTCGAAATACCGATGGCTGCAGCTTCATCTCCCCACTTTGGCAGCTCACTTCCCCGAATTTCCGCGGTCATTTAGAATATGTTGGAACCATCTACCAAGAGTTCAGCAGCCGGGCACCAATGGTCCAAGACATGGTTCAAGGAACAAAAGGCCGCTATTTCAGAGGAAAGTCCAGGTCCTTGCAATCTGTTGCATGTCGCCATCTTTGCTGGTGAAATCTCCCATTTGCATCCATCTGTATTGAACAAAATACATTCGTTTCGAAAAGTTGCAGAGACCAACAAGTTAGCCCATCATATTCCCCAATTTTTCATATTCCCCAATTTTTTCCCAAATATTCCCCAATTTTTTTCCCAAATATTCCCCAATTTTTTCCCAAATATTCCCCATACATTCCCCATATATTCTCACCACGGGATCACTTCACGTCAACGCATCAACGGCCGCGGTGGCTTTTCCGCTGCCCTTTCCTTCCCTTCGCTGGTCGGCTGGGCCGAGCTTTGCAGCCCTAGCGAGGCGGGTGATCAGAATTATATACAATTAATTATCTATAATTAGATCGGTTGATAAGAATTATAAGTATAATGTAGTATAATTATCTATAATTAGATGGGTTGATAAAAATTGATAAAGTTACTTATAACTATGTACATGTGATTATCTCAGTATATATCAGTACTTCCAGGATGGCACAGGCTTGAACACAGACATCTCAATCGTTTAGTGTAGGAGGCTACCAGCAAAGATACGGGAGAATCCTGCCTTCGCACAGCTTTGACATAACTACACATCAAAAGTCAGGTTTTTTGACAAGCTTGGAGTAGCAGACTTCAGATGACCTAAGCAACTAGAAAACCAGCAGATTCTCAGTACGTAGATAAACTGTGAGAAACCACTGTGGGATCATCTCCAATTGCCACCACCCTACACTCTCGCAATCAAACATGGCTAGCTGGAAAATTCTCCATTTTGTGGTTTAGTTCGATGATTTTCCCATTTCAAACCTTCATTTAGGGGGGAGTGGTTTTCAGACAGCATGTTTGATCACTGCAGGGTATACCCATAAAATCCCATGAAATCACCATGAAATCCCCTAAATCCCATTACAATACACATGATTATTCCCATTAATTTCCCATGAAATCTCCATGAAATCACCATTGGCATCCCGGCTATCCCCACATATCCCCACCAGATGGGGACCTCGCAAGGATGCGTTTCTCCTCCTCCAGATCCAAGCGTTCGTAGCAATGGAACCTGCCGTTGCGTTGGCGCTTGGTTCTCCACAGCCTAGAACCCTTCGGTGTCATCAAACATGGCTAGCTGGGAAGGAATCTTTAATCATTAGGCCCTAATATCCATGCAGATTTATGGAAACACCGTCCATAAATGAAGGATTCTGATTCAAAACCACCGCAACATTCCAGGAAAGATCCTTGTAGTGTCTTTTGGGGAAGCAGTGGATGGTTGGAAAACCCCATTCGTTCACACTTCCTCTCAACAAAAATCAAGATCAAGAAACAACTACAGTATAGCAGGTTTGTCTAAAACAAAGTCACATCCCATAGTTTCCAACTCAGTGTTCTATATATGTCTATACTACTCATGATATCACGGTCGCAACATTATGGATAACTCCCCAACTGTTTGCTCAATTTCATATCATGTTAGTGGGGTAAAGCAACGGGCAGGACTGAGGGTTTGCCCGGAACGGAATGAGTGATGTCTTAAGGAGGCTCATTTCACTGCACAGGCGCAGTGTTTTATGACTTTGGTACATCTTTGGGTTCCCTGTTCCACGTCAAATTTTTGGAAAAATCTGTCGGAAAAGTGAACTCTCTGCGGACTTCATGCGTGTCGGCCTTTTCCCGTTTTTCATTTTTTTTGGCGAGTTAGAAATATGGTTAATTGTTCCATGGGGCCGAAGATTTTACAACTTGTATAAACCCTACATGAAAGCCTAATGGAAGTATAAACCCGGTGGATGATGGTTCCAATGGGTTGATGGTTGCTGGGTCAGCCTTCGGGTATGGCCCTTGGGGGGCGGGCATACCCTCGTCCTGTGGGTAAAACAACATGATAACATTATATCAAAGAAATCCGGGAGGTTACTCCATCATATTACCCATTACATCATGAACATGTCATGAACTGTTACCCCTTTTTTTAACATGTTGGAGGTCAGAATTTCCATGACTTGGATGATTTTGGGTAGCCCTATGACTTTCTTAGGAAACCCATCTGGTTGGTGGTTTCAATCCCTCTGAAAAATATGAGTTCGTCAGTTGGGATGATGACATTCCCAATATGATGGAACAATAAAATTCATGTTCCAAGCCACCAACCAGATAGTTATGACATGCTGTGAGGTTTAATAACTATGGTTATACTAACCCAATAAGCCAATATTCTACCATTTATGGGTCATAACCTCTTCATTTCTCCATCATTTCATGGCCATACCGTGACCTGTGACCGCTCGGGGCCCAGCTACATGCCTCGCCGGGAGGTTAGTGACAGCGGGCACCAGGGGATAATCCAGCTGCCACATAGTTGATATATGTTAATTAATATCATAACTAGTATCATATCCATATATAACATCTATATAATAATACCAATTATAGTATATATATATCATAGTTGATATATAATTGGTATAATTAACTAGTATCATATCCACTACACTATGTTAATAACATCAATAGTATAATACCAATTATTAATATAGCCGGGATACTCCATTGTGTAGTGGATAATGGAACTAATGATAACTACAACTGATCGATTTCCCCATAGATTTTGTTCCAACTATGTCATTAGTTTTCTTCGGACATCAACTAAGTTGATCATCTTGAGAATGTATGAACTGGCAATATCGTATACATGTCTTCCTCAACCAGTCTACGACATTTAACTATCTACCGTGGTTGAAATTTGTCGATCTTATTTATCCACTATTCTCCCTTTTTTCAGTTGGTTGTCATGAATATGTAATGAATGATACTTTTCATACTGATTGTCAACCATCGTCCCAACTATTTGAACCAATATTGACTATCATCCGGATGATAGTATCAATTTTGTCAACCATCACGTTGTTAGTAATACTGATTTGGTGATGGCAAGGATGATAACATATCATATAACATATCATGTGACATTGGTCAGGATGATCAAGATTTGTTGACATCAAGTGAACTTCCTTCACAGTTGCTTGAATGATACCCTCTGGTAATTTAACATAGCTATTGAACATGGCCATAGAAATAGTTGATTTTCCCATTAAAAATGGTGATTCTTCCATAGTTATGCAAACGTTTACCAGAGGGTAGTTGTTGTGATCACTTCACCTTAGTTGCAAACGAATCTGAGCCAGCGTACCAAGATGGGTGATCCAATATCTCTGAAGGGAAACGACCCAGCACCTCCAGGCTTCCAGCTGGAACTGGTATGGCAGGCTTCTACAATAACAAGGTGTCCTGGCACTTCAAGAAGGCCAAATATGATCAACAAAGATATTGGATGGATTGATGAGATAGGATAGATGGGGCACCTTTGTCAGGGGCCCAATATGATCAACACATTCATTAAGGCAAGGAATTGATATTTGGATGGATGCCGTCGTCTCAAGATGGGGGCCCAAAATGAACAGATCCCACACTCTGCAGATTTTTTCATCTTGGGAAAGGACTGCCCCAGATGATACACCATGGCCACGTCAAAATCTGCCTAGCCATCTCCCCGCCTTGATAAATCTCACGCAGGTCCTGAGGCTGTTCCATGGTGGATTTAAGGGGAGCACAGCTGGGGTCTCCCATCGACACTGCATCATTTTCCTGTCCTGGTAGGAGAGCACTCGGCAGCCAGGTGAGGAAAGGTCCAAGAAGGATCTGCGGCCGCGAGAATTAGCAAACATATTGCTATAACCAGCTAAAAATGGGATTAAATGGGAATATCTTGGGGGATATGGTGATATCAACCCTGAGCTTATTGAGTTGCCCTGCAATGTTTCACACATGAGCCATCTTTCTTTTCAGTCTCAATCAATCTAGTCTTCTCCACATACCTGTGTATCTACATACATATATATATATATATACTTATATATATATATACTTATATATATATACTTATATATATATACTTATATATATATACTTATATATATATATACTTATATATATATATACTTATATATATATATACTTATATATATATACTTATATATATATATACTTATATATATATACTGTATTATATACTTATATATATACTTATATATATACTTATATATATATATACTTATATATATATATATACTTATATATATATATACTTATATATATATATATCACATACGTATCTTTGTGGATCACAATAGTTCAATGCAATCCCCCATCAAATGATATTCAATCACCATTTCTTCCGCTTAACGACAGCCTCACCCTGGGCCATGAGGCAGAAGGCAAACACACCTCGAGTCGCGGGCCCTGCCATGGCCACAACGACCATGACTGGGCAAAAATACCAACGATTTATGATGATTTTGGGGATTTGGGGGATGGTTGATTTTTGGGTTTACCATATTATTGTTCATTTATCTGGGTAAATTATCATATTTCACACACCTGAAATAAGGCTATTTTGGGATGATTCCTCTTATTAACCATGATTCCAGTGAGGTCGCAGTGAGGTCATTAAAATTTACCCAGATTTATTATTTGAGAAGAAATCCAGAGTTTCCATTCACTGGATCAAATCGTTGGGATCAAATTTGGCTGTTTGATAAATTCAGGAATAACCTAAAAAACCTATATAGGTAGAATAAATATACCCTATCCAGGTATAAATATAGGTGATTTCAATTTCAGATTTTCTGAACTCTAGATGCAGAGGTATCTTCATGACAGAGAGGAATAGTTATCACCCATTTCAAACATCGGCCATCGTCCCAACAATGATTGGCGCAACTACCACACATCAATGACATCACTGGCACAGCACAAATAACTAGATATACAGGCGTATAAATACAGGCGTATAAAAACTCACAAACTTGGTGATATACCAAATCTGTTGATCCAATAACAGGAAGTAAACTGGGACTTGATTGGGGCGTGTGTCAGATTCAATCGTTTTTTCTCCACCATATCTTGGCTCAATATATTATATCCAGTCTCCAAAGAGAACAACCATGGAAATTTTGAGGGATAGCTCCCCCAATCCCATTCCCATCATTCCGACGCGACGTCGCGACGGGAGGTCTTATAAGTTGGGCATTATCTAGCCCCATGAACGAGTTTGATATACCTGCCATAAGCATTAGTTCCATCAGTTGTAAACCAGCCATCAAGCTTGTTACATCCCCATATGTCAGCATCTAACTGGAATAATTCGTTGTATTACTTCAATTTGTGCCATACTTAGGCAATGTTTATGAACACAATAAAACAACCATGGTGACTTTGGGATCCGCCATTTTAAGAACCCTGCGAAGAAGTTTGGCTCCCCAAATTGACCCTCCGATTCCTCATTACTATTGGCACTAATTATTCAACATTCGTCATGTTTTTAATGAGATTGAATTTCCCATTTATTCACTATAATTTACCATTCATTGGTGGTACTAAAACCATCAACAATGACAGTGCTAATCCGTGAATATAAATACCATTCATCATTAACAATTGGCAATTATTTTATGAATATTGATGTTAATAGTGGATTAATCATTCATCTGGTTGGTGGTTTCAATCTCTCTGAAAAAATAGTCAAATGGGATTATTGTTCCCAATATATGGAAAATTAAAACATGTTCCAGACCACCAACCAGTCATCAATGGAACATGAACAATGAAAAAGTACAACTGTTGTCCCCCCCGCCTGCAGGAAAATCAGCGTGGCCGCAGCAATCTCCTCATCCAGCAACTGGAAAAAGTCCCCATGACGCACCTGCAGCCCCCAAGATTTTAACCAAACATGCCAGAAAATAAGACTTTCATGGCATTTCATGGGATGTTTATCAATCAACATGGGGACTGTAAGCACAAAAAACACATAGGGATGTAACTTGAATGGGACTTTCATTGGGTTTCAACGGATCTTAATGGACCAAATCATGTATCCAAGTGGTCACGGAGATTGGACATGTCTAAACATGCGGGGATACAAATCAAATTGCCATTGTAATATACATTGTGTTGAAATGGGAAATGTGTGATAAACCACTGGAGTTTGGTGTATCCTATCCTCGCATAAAGTTATGTTTGTTGCAACATGTCTCAAGCTGCTAAGGAGCTTGAACCAGAAATCAGGGATCCATTGGTGAGTCACTCAACCACACACACTGTGCACTCAATGGATTGCTGGCAAGACTTGGTACGAAACCATGGTTTTCCCCTCAAATTTACAAGTTTCCTATGGTTGTCCCCTACTATTTCCCTTGAACTCTCTTGAAACCTGCAACATCCACTGCCCACCTCCAGAAAAGAGTTGTACTTTACAGCGCCCGCGGGAGCAGCGGAGATCAAACGTGCCTGACTTCTTTGGTCGAGGAAGATATTGCTGTCTCACTTACCACTGAACGCGACTTATAAATATGATGCCAAGTTTCGAAGGAATATTCTGAATATATTCTAAGACTCTAAGATTTAAAAGCACGTATGTGAATATGAATGTAGATACGATATGATACGATATCAGTGATATCAGAGTGGACATCGATTACAGAGGAAGAATCATTTAAGGATATTGGCCAGGTCGATCGCCATCCCCAGAATCATATCATGTACCACTCAAAGCGGACTGGGATCACCCGCAGTCACCCCCCGTGCCATGGCCACGCCTTTGAAGTCTGAAAACTCACGCGAAAAGCTTCTGGGCACCTCTGGCAGGGACGGATGCTAATTTCGAAGTTCATCGGACTTCCTCAACTCATTTAGCAACAAGTCCTAACCGATGTGTATTTCCAAAAAAAAAAAATCTACTTCAAGCGTGTAAATCTTTCATTTGAAAAGCAACAAGTAGGGAAAATCCGATCATCCGAGAAAATCATGCCACAATAGCAACACAAAACGGGACAGGCGATCGAACCCATCAAGGGCACCATTGTTTTTTAACAACATTTAGGGGCGCCCAACCCCACACCCATATCCCAGCCCTGTTGATGCTGGTGGTTTTAAAAACAAAATTGTTGTCAATCTAGAACTCTATCTCAAATAAGGTACACCATCTGTAGCTGATTATTTTCTCGTTATACCATATCTGGCATATACAGTAATTCACTCACCAATGGCAAGACAACCGCCCCTGGGATAATCATTATCCTTGAAGAAAAACCCTTCCGGTGTTTAACCCGGTGTTTCATCCAAATGTCATTACTCTCATGTTTGTCATTATCGTGATATAGTTATAGTTTATATTGCTATATTTTAGTTAAGTATGTTGTGTTTTATTCTAGTCATGGTATACAATAGCTAAAATTTATGGTATAATGTGAAAACAACATATCAACCATTACACTTACCTATCACACTGTACCAATTTTACGGCCAGCACTTCTGTTATGCCGAAAAACGTCTTTCGGGATGATGACCCTCGGAGATTCGGCTGGCAGGATTGGTTTTCGGCACTTTTTGCATAAACCCTTAAAGAAACCTAGAAATCCTAGGAAGAACCCTAACTTAACCCTAAAGAAACCAAAAATGAACCCTTTAAGAACGTGTGAAAGTGTACAGTAAATGGTGAAGTACCTGTGGGGCGTAGCGCACGTGCTGCGGGCAATTTTAGTTCTCACATTAGTTATATCATACGTTACCATACACAAATAATCACATAATATCAAATATCCTAGGTATATGTACCACATCACCAAAAAACAATAGGATATCCGCCGACCCCGGCCGACGCAAGGGGGAGCGCGTAAGGGAAGAAGAGGTACTGCACTGCTATTACTACCGCCTAGTATCCAGGAGCCAGCAGCCAGCTAGCCAGCAGTTAGTAAGCAGCAGCCAGGAGCCAGCAGCCAGCTAGCCAGCAGCCATTAAGCAGCAGCCAGGAGCCAGCAGCCAGCTAGCCAGCATCCAGTAAGCAGGCAACAGGCAGCCAGTAGTCAGCAGCCAGGAGCCAGCAGCCAGAGCAACAACAAGAACAACAACAACCAGCTAGCCAGCAGTTAGTAAGCAGCAGCCAGGAGCCAGCAGCCAGCTAGCCAGCAGCCATTAAGCAGCAGCAAGGAGCCAGCAGCCAGCTAGCCAGCATCCAGTAAGCAGGCTAACAGGCAGCCAGTAGTCAGCAGCCAGGAGCCAGCAGCCAGAGCAACAACAAGAACAACAACAACAACAGCAGCAGCCAGCTAGCCGCAGCTAGCCAGCATCCAGTAAGCAGGCAACAGGCAGCCAGGAGCCCGCAGCCAGAACCACTACGACGACGACGACGACGACTACTACTACTACTTCTGCTACTACTACTACTACTACTACTACTACTTCTGCTACTACTACTACTACTACTACTTCTGCTACTGCTACTACTACTACTACTACTACTACGACTACTACTGCCAAAAAAACAATTTCTTCTAGAGTTTCAAAAGCGACGTTAGGCAGTTTTTCTGGTCACTTTTGGGGTGTTTTGGGCGCGAAATTAGGTGGTGTTTCAGCGTTTCGAGTGGTGTCCATCGGTAGAGCTGTTGCACGTTGCAAAATTGCAAGGTTGAAGGCACCAAAGCGACAGGACAGCTACCGCAAAGGCAGCCAAAAAAATGTTTTTTTCTAGGGTTTCAGAAACGACGTTAGGCAGTTTTTCTGGTCACTTTTGGGTGTTTTGGGCGCGAAATTAGGTGGTGTTTCAGCGTTTCGAGTGGTGTCCATCGTTAGAGCTGTTGCACGTTGCAAAATTGCAAGGTTGAAGGCATCAAAGCGACAGGAAAGCTACCGCAAAGGCTGCCCAAAAAAAAAAAACTAGGGTTTCAGAAGCGACGTTAGGCAGTTTTTCTGGTCACTTTTGGGATGTTTTGGGCGCGAAATTAGGTGGTGTTTCAGCGTTTCGAGTGGCGTCCATCAGTAGAGCTGTTGCACGTTGCAAAATTGCAAGGTTGAAGGCATCAAAGCGACAGGAAAGCTACCACAAAGGCAGCCAAAAAGATGTTTTTTCTATGGTTTCAGAAGCGACCGTCAACACTGCAAGGACGATTCTATAAAATCCATGTGTTGGGCCGTGGTTCATGAAGGCCAGAAGGCATCAAAAAAACCAATCCGGAGCTCTCAGGACGAGAGGTTTTGAAGCGTGCCCGAAAAGTGCACTTTGATTCCACATCATTCTCAATATCAACCAACGACAATTAACAGAATGGAACTGATGAGTCTGAGACATTCTTATTCGATCTTTGTTCCTATGATTTAGATTTGCAATCCAGTTCAACTATAGTTAAGCTGGCATCCAAAGTGGCAGGCATGCCCCCAGCGCCTGAACGCCACGAGCAAGTTCTCCAAGTCTGAGCTGAGTCGCCGACGTTTGAGCAAGAAGTGACACCTCCGGCTTCCCGGAATGCCCGGGGTCGGCGGCAGGGGCGGCAGCCCTTAAATAAACAATCCAATAACTACGTACAATATCGCTATTATACGCTATGTATTACATATTACGAGTATATATATATATATATATATAAGCCAAATACAAAACTATAATGATTACGTGTATCATAGGGTATATATTATATGTATCCATTGGGTTACAGTGGATATATCTCTATCATTGGATATATACACATATATACACCTATATATCTGGATATTATATATATATGTGGATATTCGATTGTATTATCAAATATCAATATGCCTATTTTACATACATTAATAGATATATATATATATATATATTTATATATACATACATACATATACATTTGTTATTCCATTGTTTGATGCGTTCGCCAGTCTCGCACTCCGGCGCCTGTGTGCCAAGCGCTGCATGGCTTCAACCGCAAAGCTGTAGCGTTCCAAGGCCAGCTCCACGCCTCCGGCTGCGAGCGGCCGGAGGGCGACCGTTTCGGAAAAGGCTGGGGTTCACCAGGGAAAATGATGGAAACCATGGATACATGATGGGAAAATGATGGAAACATGATGGAAAATGATGGAAGATGGGAAGATAACCCAAGGAAAAATGATGGTTTAAGAAGTTTAAGACTAAGAATGCAAAATGGGGAGATAGATCAACCAAACTGGTGATAATGGGATGTAACTGATATGAGGAGTAAAAAAAGGGCAGAAAAGCTGTTAAACCAACAAACATTGGGATTTGTTTTCCCTGATCTATCATAGCTAGGGTTGTTTACTTCACTGGCCTACCGGCTGGATCTATGGGGGATATATCGAACCATCATCGAAACTCAACAGCAGGTTGATATACGGATATACGGTATATTGAACCCCATGGTATAAAAATATTGTAACACCTTTTATCATATGATGGGCCCGAAGCCCAGGTATTTTGATTGGATCCTAACAGCTCATGTTCCTGGACCGTGTCTATTCATTTCAAGCACGGATTCAAAACCCAAACCTCAAATCCGGGTGGTTTGGTATCCTATCGTAGCTATCATCAAGAATCATCAATCCATGAGATTCCATGAGAAAGAAGACATCTTAGACATTTTATAAAACCCAAAACATCCCGAGTTTCGATGGCAGGGATGAGTCCCCCAGCTGCCTAGAACTGTGGCACCCGCCAGGAAGAGGTGTAGTGCAGCGCGACCGCGACCACAGCCCAGTTCCAGAGCAACCTGGAACTGACGACAAGAAAAGGTCGGGAGGGCGCGGGAATCCAAATATGGTAATATACAAATATAGACATGCATTTTTTCTTAATATATAATATAAAGAACATACAGTTAATCAATATAGTACTACAATACAATTAAAAAAATCAACATAATTCATATTTGAAATCCTCTGGGTGATGGGTGAGATATAGCATTGGCAATTTACCAATCTGAAATGTTGGGGCATTTTGGGATACTTACCCGATTCGAACCTTCATTCAGCGATGTGAGGTCGTTTTTCATGATTTGTCCTACCCCAGACCACCAGGTTGTCGTCCCCATGCTACTCTTGGTTGCACCACCACTTTTACATTATTGCATCGCCCTAGCCCCCTTTCAATCCTCCACCTTCACTCCAAGTTAACACAGAACTGATGGTATCCATGGATTTGCAAACTGAGGGGCACCTTCCCCCAGTTCTGACTTGATCGAATCGTCCCCCACTCGTGGCAAAAAATACCCCGCTCGCCAACCATCCGCCAAGGTTTACCCACCGCCTCATGGTGTCTCTGCCGCGCTGGGGACTCAAAGTGTAGGCCTCACCAACTGGAAAACAACCGGGGCCCCACAACCCCAAGTAAGAGCCCTGGTTTTGGGAGGCTTCCGGGCAGTCCTGCACCGCCAAAAGGATGGGTTGAAACCCTGCAAATAACGGGACGAACCACCTATCACCTGGCGCAGAATTTCGCAACCAGCCACAAAAAAACATTACCTGACTTCCGTCTCATAGCGTTGTGTCCAGCTGGTGGATACTGGTTGGGGATGGGCAACATCATCTCATGATTCAACTGTTTCAGCTTTACGGTGGCCCCCAAAGAAAAACAAAATTCATCCTCCGCTAATCAAACGTGGCTTGCTGGAAAATCTCCCATTTATAGTTAGAGGATATTCCCAGCTATAAACCTCCGTTTAGTTTTGAGTTTTTCCTAAGAACCCTCCCCCAAATTCATCTTGTTGGACAGGTGCCAATTCGTCTGAGATCCACCGGGAGCCGGGGCCAATCAATGGGTGCTCATCAAACCACCAAATTGGTTGATTTAGCTAAGGACACCCCCAGGGATACAATTTGCTGGACCTATTGATTTAGCCTATATCGTATATGATAATGCTACCTTGTTGTATATTGGACCCATGTCACTATATATTGGTTGGTGGTTTCAACCCCTCTGAAAAATATGAAAGTCACTATCATCATCATCCCAACTATTGGGGAAAATAAAAGTCATGTTCCAAACCACCAACCAGTATATTATCATATATTCGCTATAGTAACTGTAGTCATACCCAAGATCTACCAAGGTCCAAATCCTCAAATCACATGGTCTGAAAACATGGTATATCCGAAAATCCACGGGTTAATCTTCATCATATTCCCCAGTAAAATTGCCATATATTGACGGTATACCCATGTATACCCTATTTTCAGCTTGCAAAAGAGTTCAGCCCTTCAAGTGATGCTCAGTGGTATGAGTGGGCAGAACCGCCTACAGTTAGTATCCAATGTCCATTATTCATTGGCCAACGCCCCAATTTTCGATACTTCACAAGTTAGCACCATGTTTGATTACAGTATAGATTATGTATAGTTCGTATTTTTCTTGGTTAAACGCAACATATTCCCTCCGCCTGGAGCCATGACCGCCAGGGCTTTCTCAGTGCCTGCTGGTAGTAACTCCTGAAGTTGGGGGAATGGAATTGGGTTCTCCGTACCGGGTGAAAAACCATGGTTTAACTCTCCAAAATTCAGATACGACTTGGGATTGTGCTGCACTGGAGTGATGATTGATTCGCACAAGGGGCATTTACAGGCCAATGATATGGGATTTTATGGATTTTAGTGTCGATACAGGTCTTAACCTATTCCAAAAAGGTGAGTCAATGCCGGTCCGGTGTTCCAAGTGACCTTAGCTGCAGTACGGTTGGACCCGTGTCTCCCTTCCCTGCCGGTGTACCAACCCAAGACTTGAAGTCTCCTACATATTTTGGAACGCAACCTTAAACAATAGATTGACTACCCTCTGGTAATTTAACGTAGCTATTGAAAATGGCCATTAATAGCGGATTTTCCCATTAAAAATGGTGATTTTCGATAGCTATGTTAAATTACCAGAGGGTAATTCCACTAAATTCCTAACTTGGGCAATTTGTTACGATGTGTTACGATCTTCCTTTTCCATGTTGCTTTTTTCCATGAGGTTTCCAGTCGATTTCTGGAGGCAAAAAAAAATCGTCGTTGCTTCACCACGTCCAAAAAACCCATCCGCTCCCCGTAGGTCAGCAATTCCGTGCCGCCAATCCTGGCTGCATTTTTCAAGTGAAGTACAGCCGCTGTTTGTAAACCATGACTCAAGACTTTGACAAAATCGTATATGCTACAAATATGTTTCTTAAGATGTGTCAATAGAGTTCACCCAACTTTGTCCAAAAGCTGCGCGACACTTTGCATGTTTTGACTCTTGACCTAGGTCGCTTTTGCCGGTGAAACAGATCTATGGCTGCAAATCAGCGGCACATCTCGACTTCAAATCTCTAAAGGGCTAACCTGCTATCAGAACCGCCATTGAAACACTTTGAAACTTGATCCATCTTGATCCCCTTTGAAAAATCTGTGGAGTTTCCTCGGCTTCACAGTGGGAGCTTCGTGATGATCTCCTTCAGGTCGTCACCGCGGTCGCCGTCACTGTGCAGGTCGCTGATCGCACCGGCAGCGGGGCTGCCGTGCGGGGAGCCGCCCGAACGATGGGAACGCGCCGATCGGTGTGAGGTCTGAGAACGGCTTGAGGGACTTTGGGGGCGAAGTGACTGAACAACCTGAAGACCATGCAAACCATAACCATGGCCAGCATGTGAATGTTGAATTGGCAAGCTATGCAAAGTTTTGAGGTTTGACTCGGTCAAGTTGGCATGGTCCCTATCTGGAGTATGAGGGGTAAGATGAATGACCATGGTTCCAATCCAGGATTCCAGAACCGCGTCGTGTTCGATGGTCACAAATGCTTTCGCCTCACTGATCCCCAACAGGTTGAAGGTCACAGTTGCCAGATCGTTGTTGGGATCTTGTGGATCCTTTGGATGTGTGGCTTGCGATTCATCGAAAGCATGTGAAGCAAAGCAATTCCCCAAGCGCTGCAGCTGTTGGTTGAGCCATGGTCGCGAGTCGTGGCTTGCAAGCTCCGAAATGCAATCGACTGTGTCGCCCAAGTATGCTTGGCACAGTCGCCTCATTGCGCTATTCATCATGTGAAGGTCAAATGTGTACACGTCATACATCACAATAAGATTCTCGCCTTCAGACATTGGATAGGCAATCGAGGCAGAGGGGGTCACTCCGGTACGTTCCAAGGGTTCCAAGTCCTGCATCTCTCGGAGGCCCACGAGAAAGCACCTCTCATTGGCCAAATTCTTGAACTGCGCACAGAAGAGCTCCACTTTCACACGATTGAAATCGGAGTCCAACATGTCGGCATTCAATGCCACTGAGACGTTCTCGGAACCTGAACTGAAAACTTGCTCAGAAATTCGTTGTTTGTCTTCTTCGGCAAAGAAGTCGAGCAAGGATTTCCCTGACAAACCACCAGCTTTTGGTGCGGTTTGCAGAAGCATTGATGCGAGTTGGCCTGAATCCTGAGTGAGACTCAAGGTGTGATCTACCTCTATCACCGCATCATAACATGCAGTCAGGAGAGAGGAGACCGCGCCAAGTTCCACCGTCCTCTTTTGCAAGTCCACCCTGAGAACCACATTCTCACGCACCAGCCGTCTCACTGCAATGATGCAAACAAACATCATCAGAAACATGGGAATGAGATTATGGGCACCATAAAGTATTCCTGGAGGATCTTCTTGTGACCTGGAGATTTGAATTGCTTGGAGCAAGTGGACTAGGACGCAAAACACCACACAGCCAATCCGTTTGGCCAGCACTGCGTACAAGATTCGTCCTGCGAACGCGAAGGGGACCACATCTCGGACATCTACTTCTGGTACTTGGACCAAAATGGAGGCATCCAAGCTCAACATCACTGCCACGTACCAAACATCTTGGTTGCTTGGATTGATGAGGCGAGGGAATGAAAAGAAGAACAGCCCAAGAGTGGCCATCACAAGATTAGTGAGATTGTACGGGTGCGATGCACCGGCCTCATGCAGGATCAGGCGAAGCATGGCGAAGACAAAGATGACGGTCATCAGCCTTCGAGCCCACAGGCATCGCATCTCATCGAGTTCTGCGCTGGCGCTATCTCTGCCCTGGCGCCTCCACCAGCTTTGGATCTGCTTGTGGTACTTGGAGATCCAAGCACCCAGGGTCCCGGAGCAAAAGGAGCGGAGGGACGCCGACCGAAGGAAGGAGACCAACAGAAAGATGAGCTTCAAAAGAGTGGCCGCTTGGAGTGTCAAGGTGCCATAGCGCAACACGGAAGGATCCATGGCATCCATGGGGACTTAGTAAAAATTAAAACGGCTGTGAGCCCTTGAGCCCAACAAAATTGGGGTCGATCCACGAGGTACCCCCAAAAATTGCATCGGACACGGGACACTGAAACATGGCAAAGGGTTTGTGGTAGTTGTAGCAACCCCCAAGAAGATGGAATAAGATAAGATCCTACTATAATGGTGATCATATTCCCTTTTCTTTGAGTGAGGAATATATGTGATAATATGTGAATCGTTATATAAAAAAATATTATATATTATAATATACAGTAGGTCTAAAGATTCAAAAGTTTTGACCCACAACTGCAGTGTTTCACCACAGTGAACTCGTTGAAGTCGTGCCAGCAGGGACCAAGCAGCTTTTGCCGCGTCGACCAAGCCAGACCAGGCAAACCTCGGCGTCGCTGGTGGCTGGTTCTGTCCCAAAAAGGACCCCAGGATCCATGTATGCTATATATGGTAACATTTACCATCAATATACCCCCAATGTTAGCATATAAACCATACATGGATCCTATGGGTTATCTGAAACTGTTATTGACAATAATTGATTTCTACTGAGTTCTACTTCTATCATGTGGTTAGGAAATTGATGGACTTCCGCGGAGCCCTGAAAGAACAAAAACATATATGGATGACATGCAACTGTCGCTTCTTGGCTCCCTCCAAACGAGTGTTCAAGACTTAGGTGACCACCCAGTCACTGTTGACTTCACTAGAGAACTAATCTTTCTTGGTCGCCTGGGCAACATGTTGATATACATTGATAATATTTGATAGTTCTACATTGTATGGGCATGGCTCAAAACCATGGAATCTGCTGACGAAACAACAAACAACAATGGTCCATGTTTTGATGTTCCTCAGATATTCCATGGCCATTGACCCAAAAACAACAAATTGTCCAAAAACAAAACAATGGGTCAATACCCAAAAACAAAACCCACATTTTTTGCTTCTGGGTATTGAAATTGACCCAGTTTACAGGGCTACCCAAAACAGGCCTCCCCCGACGCCAGGCGGCTTGGATGTCTGCGCGCTGCGAAGGCACGCCGGGTCCTTTTTCATGGAGCTGTGGGGCAGCGATGTTCGGATGGCAATCTGAAGCTCCTTTAAACGATAATCAAGCAAATAGTATTTGAACAACAAATAGCTCCTTTATATCTATAATATTCTATAATTATCTATATGATATATGTTCAAATTTTATGTTTGATGTTTGATAATACACATACGAACATAACATATAATATCAAACATAATAAAGCAACTATAATGTACTATAATGTAATGATTAATGCTGGCAAAACAAGAACTAACCATCCTCAATTTCCCCATAAATAGCTGGGATGGTTACCATTCCCAGTCATGGGTGGTTTATGACATTGTTTTACCCCCATTACTAACTATACCTACAAAACATACTAAAACTGAAATCTCAAATTGAGCCGTGCACTTGATCAACTTGATCAACATTTCCCATCGCGTGGCAGGTCCTCATCGCACGCCTCTGAGCGATCATGGGAGCCATAAATTCGTTGGGCTTGTCTGAAATGGATTGAAATGGGGTATATACCCCTGAACTTCCCAGTTCTCGTTTAACTGACACTTTTGCAAAGTACTCGTTTCCCAAGGCCTTTTCACATATATAGTGCTTTCAAACCTGGTTAATCTTGCCTCCATTCCCTGTGCATCATTAAATGGCTAAGTTGGGAAGGCTCGAGATGCTCTATATTGATCACTTAGAACATATTTTTATTAATCGACATATCGAACCATGCACCCATGATCACACAATTCTTTTGTGAGCATCATCAGCGATTGTTGTCACACTTCAATGAGAATCAAATGGTGTCAACAAGAAATGCGTAAAACGTGCGTGAAACACCTGAAAGTGAGCGAAAAAGCCGTGATTTTAGGGTCACCTGGAATGCGTGAAAACCGTAAGATTTCCTCATGCAACTGGAAGCCCATCCGCTCATAGCTGTCTAGTCTCACACCCCTTGTAACGGTAACAAAAACATGTGGTTGAAGAGTCCCTTGCATATAGACCCCTTGCTGAAGTGGAAAAGGAGGTCAATGGCAGGGTTCTTGCTGATTATCTACAGAGCTATGAAGTAATTTGGGTTAAGTCACGATGGCACTTTACAGCATATAACGCCGGCACTTTGTTCGAAAGTACTCGTTTCCCAAGTACAAAACGGAAGTTATGGAAGTACAGTGCCCCCGATTTTAGGCCATTCAAATCGGCTCATGATTCACTGGTCGATTTAAAATTTAGAGGTAACCTATTTTCAGACAAAACCCGGCTGGACCTGGGCTCACTGTTTCATCCTTGGACTTAGTGAAGCCGCCTGCCCATAATCCGAAAAAAAACTCCTTAGGAGCCTTAGGAATGGATTTGAGTTGGAACATCGCCAATCTTGGGACACAAATATGGTTGCTATATGTTGCTGTAATACAGTAGAATTTCCCATTGATGACCATTGATTGCAAAAAAAAGAAAACCTAATCATTCATCTACCAAACAAAGGTTGCCAAAAATTGAGCCATGAAAGAAGAACATGCAGAAATTTACACATGTCCCATCCCATTTTACTGGTTGATTAATGGACCACTATAAATTACTTGTGGGTCATAATAATCCCCAATAAACCAGGTAGTATACCACCCTATGATAACCAATCAATAAGGTAACAAAAGGCCCGCGCCTGCGCCAATCTGTCCAGGATTGCTTGAGGTACCTCCAGGCAGGATGGTAGCATCACAACCGTCGCATAGCATGACTTAAAAACAAATTGGATCTCAGACACCTATGCAAAAAACTCACGGATCATAGTGAAATGTAGTACTTGGGAGCTTGAAAGAGTTTTTGTTTCAACATGTTTTTGCTAAAACATACTCGGCCAGAGAGGCTTCTGTTGCCCGTTTTCCATTCGGCGATCTCCAGGGCCTCCCAATCAACCTTCTCGTGTCGGATCCTAACGCGATCACTGGCGGGGAAACCAAAGGTTGTTACTTTAAGGTCATACGACAACCAAATCATGTGGAACAAAAACTCTGAAATGATATGTATGTACATATATATATAATATACATATGTCAAGTGGCTAACAACTATATATAGACATTTTTTAAAAAAGCGACACTCCATGGACAATCAATCAGAAGAGCTGCAGCTACTTCCCATCAACATGGCGAATGCTGGAGACCTGCTGAAATAGCTTCATTTCTAGCTGGGCATGAAATCAGATTCTTCCTATTTGAATGTAGCAACAACAATTCCCTACCCAACTAAATTAATAGTTAATGTTATTCAATAAACCACTACGACATCAACCCATCATTTTAACCACAAAACCATGGTTCACCTCTTCAGCAGGTTTACCCAGCAACGCTCCCCGTTTTGCATCCTGGGTTGTGCAAAGGCCGGAAAATCCATGGGTCTCGGTGCCGGGGCAGATCCGGTGCCTGACAATCTCCCAAGTCGCGATGGGTCAAAACCTATGAAATTACCATATTTTGGAGATTTTTGGAGAATAAACATACATTATCATACATTAACCAGCTATTTTGAGGTACCATCCGGGTGCGTTTTGACGAAATCACCAAACGTTCAAAGAGAGTGACAAACAGTGGATAGGAGAACTGGCGGAGAACGAGAATTGGCAAGTTTTTGTACTGACAGTATCTCTGACATTGACAATCATACTCAAATAATATCAAATAATCAGAGCAATCACTAACCGCAAAAACATGTTAAGAATGTTAAGATAATCATCACCGCCTACGGAAACCGCCTGGCGACTCCAAGGCCTGGATCGCTTCCAAACGCCTACGGAAAGCGCAACCCGGGGCCACCGCCACAGTTCGCCGTTTCTGGGAGATTTGTTGGGTGAGTTTTAGAGGAAACACTGACTTCCGGGTGATGTTGGCCAATTTTGGAGGAACAATGGATGATTTTGGCAATGTGTTCCCTTCTTGAAAAGGGATTTTGCAAGCGCTTCCTCTGTTTTTTGCCCCGTTTTTTCAGTGTTGGAAACAGGGTTTTCAATTTGTTTGCACCGAAGATAGGGGTCTCCACGGGTTCTGCAGATGATTTCGAAGTTTTTCCCGCTGCTTTTTCTTTGTGGATCTGGGTGCTTAAAAGAAATAATGTGAGAAGAAAATACTATCATGATGTTATGTCCCCTACAAGCGTGGCAATAGCCAATCCACCATGTTGTTATATCAGTACACGTCAAAATGCCAACAATTTAGCATGCTCTACAGTAAAATGACCAAACTTATACAAAATCAGCACCAGCCTCATGGAGTAACTTCCACCCAGCAAAAATGAAAGTCATTGTGGTTCATGATCTCATTCAGAATGTAATTGTCATTTACATCCTTCAGGAAATCAATCAGTTTAGATCATTTCATATCATTTCGGATTGTCATTTCAAATGCTGAGGATAGGAAATGAACACCTGTGGAAACACTCCACAGAATTCTAACCCATGCTTGCTGGTTTCTCGCCCGCAAATGTTGGTGGCTCATCCCACCATTAAAGAAAAAACGCATCGGATATATTGTACGTTCCCTCAATTACTGTTGCTTCTAACCCACTATATTCACATCTTACACCCGTATTAAATCAATACACTCATCCTCCAATCACATTTAAAAAAACTTTGTTTGACATATATATTCTGACAGTCTATCTGGCATTCTTTCTGGCATGTATTCTGACATTCTTTCTGACATTCTATCCGGCATTCTCTTTGGCATGTGTTCGGGTCCAGGTGTGGCCTACTGCAGGCGTGGCCCGCTGCATCCCTGACGATGGGGAAAACAAAAACGGTTGTTGTTGGGCGAACCCCCATCGCTGGTTGCCTTGAAACCTCCATCTCCCGATCTTTCAAGATCTCCTGGCCAGGAGCAGCAGCGGCTGCGGATTACAAGTGAGGCATGTCTGTGATAAGAATGTGTTGGACATAAGAGTCATATACAATGATTATATCAGAACATATCAGAAGAATGTTTCAGTTACCTTCATCTTTTGGATATATGTAGGAAACTTGTATACTATATATCAAGAAGATGAGATACAAGTAAGAACACAATTTGACACTTGGACATATGTAGAACACTTGTATACATAATTCTACATCTATGGAAAGAAGTGATACAAGTAAGAAGACGCGATATGACACAAAGAGCACAATCTTAAATCTTAAATCTTGAACTAAAACTTCAGATTGCAAGTCGTTTCAAACAGATTCAACTTTAAGCCCAATTGGAATGCACTAGTCATCAAGGAAACTCCTCCTTCGATTCACAGGCCGCAGTTTGGCCGCCATTTTCAGCAGCTTCTGCAATCCTCCTGGAATTTTGTCGCGAGAGGTCCTCTTTTGGCATTTCCAAATCCGTGGGTTTCAGCTGAGACAGACCCAAATCAAGAATCACCTGGCGGATTTAGCATGGACCGTGAATCTTAGAGACTCAATATTTTGGAATGACTTCATAGTTTTCAAGGACAACATTCAGAAGTCTTCCATCCTGTGATGGACTTGGATATCAACCACCCAGCAATCTAGCCTGAACCGTGTCCTCATTTTAACTCATGTTTGTCCATGTTTGTTTTTCCAACTGATATGTCAAGGCATTCTGGCAAAATCATGCCAAGCTGGCGTGCTGCGTCGAACTAGGAATTGCCACTTAAATGGTCATCCAAGCAATCTTCATTCTATAATGCGTATTTTCATGTAACATATGTAGGCTAGGTATAGTATGTGTTGGGTGAATACCAATAATTAGCATATATAAATACCATATATACCATCGAGTAAACCCCAGTGTTTGACCACATCCAATCTAGCTTCAACGCTGCCAGTGCCAGCCCAACGTCCTTGGTGGAGCAAACACGATGCCGGCATCCGCATCATCATCCGCCATCGCATGGCTCAGCTGGGCTTCCAACCCGCCATTCGAATGCTGAGACTTGGCAAAATGCTTACGCTTGCCTGGTTGGCGGTTTCAAGCCACCTGAGGAGTATCTATATGTTAGTCCAGAATTGGAGATCATCGTCCCTGGCAGGAAAAAATGATACAGCAACACAAGTGATGCTGATAGGATCTGCAAGGAACGCAACGGCCCATGACTGCTAAAGCATACGGCGGATTCTATCATGGATCTCAATCTATGGCTGGCCGTTCAGTAGTTCTCATGGTCAAGAACTGCAGGTCTGAGCCAGAAGGCACAGCCATGGCTTCGCCAGTGACGTATTTTTAGAAGTGCTTCGGCTGGAAGATCCTTTGAACCTGGTTGCAGCCTCCGGTAGGTCTGATGTCCGAATGAGAATTGGTTCCTGACACCCAAGACACACTGTACCGACTGGACTAGCTACAAAATCTACAAAAAACCAAGAGGCGCAAGGTGGCGCAAGGCCTGGAATTTCAACATGTCCAGATTGTCCAGATTGTCCAGATTGTCCAACCCCAAGATGATGACATCCACAATGCAACAGGGTTTCTAGGGATGCTCCTCAAATGTCCGGGAAACGCCTCACCATCATCCCCCAAGAGATACTTCATGTCTCGCGGCTGCAAACGTGCCTCAAAAATGCACGGCACTTGGCTCACTTGGGAAGTGACCAAAGGTAATTATATAAGGGATCGCAGTTGAGATTAACTACTATCACTGTATACTATAGTCCGATGTCAACCAGTAGAAAAAGGATAGGAAACACTTTCGGCACTTCCTCCAAAAATACAACCACGTTGCACGAATGTAAGGAGTGAGGAGGGGACATTTCATGAAATTACATGTAATTACCTAAATTGGACATATCTGTCTGTGTAAGTTTTCTTAGATCATTGAGTAGATGGCTTCCTCCATTCATAGCTTGTAGCTTTGCCATTCACCTTTAAACCAACCTTTGAACCATTGACCATCCATTAAACAATCATCCATTAAACCATTCACCACCCATTCACCACGGTCTGCCAACACGGAAGAACTACTGCAGCAAACGACCCACCTTCCGCACGATCTTCGCCGCCATCTCCTGTTTTTTGTGCAGAGATCACGATCACGAGAGTCGCGTGAGACATTCTTTTTTTTTCTGGTTCATCAGAACATTTTTCTGCATTTGATGGGAATTTCTTGGGTTTGATGGGGAACATTCATGATAGAACCAACAAAATTGTGGGGATGTGATGGCGGCCTGATGGCGATACAATGGGATTGTGATACAGTGGATCATAGTGGATAATGATGATATAAGATGGGATTTAACTGGTTGGTGATTGAGACACCAATCCCAAAAAATGTGCTTGTCATCTCAAACAATCATCCCTTTGTGTGTTTGAAAAACAATCAATATTTGAAACCCCCGAGCAGTTTTGATCGCTATGTTGACCTAAGATCCTCTTCTGATGATCAGGAGCATCCATGGCTTGGTAACTTTTCTGATCCTCCCCTATCAACATAGCATCTTTGCATAGCCCCAACAGAGGCGACTGTTAAAGATCCGATCTCTTACACCAGACAGTGACAGTGACTGGGACGCTGTCCAGTGGCTTCAACTTGAAGAACAGTGCCATTGACATTTATATAGTCGGTTTGAATGACATTCAATGTTATTAGACGGCAACAAAACGCAACTATCATAGGGGAATGAGCAATGAAGCAACACTGTTGTTTCAACAATGTGCCGATATCCTGAAAATATTGCAAACAACATTTCCAGTGCAACATGATCTAAGGTTGCAATGTGTCGTCCTTATCTTCCCGAATCACTTTGGAAGACTTTGGCGTGCACCTGCGCAGTGCAATGAGTTGGTGCAGTGATCCAACCCGCAGCCTGAATCCCAGCTTGAACCATACTCGATCATTCTTGGGGCGACCAAAGCTGGACACTTTGTGAAACTCGTCATGTTCCGGCGCCTCCAGACTAAACCGAAGGTTCCTTCGCCCAATGGGCCATTTCCCACCAATGCATACCTATGCATCGGAAGCCGGGTGGCTTCACGACAGTGTAGGCTGCTCTGAATTTCGATATGATACCCCGAAAAATGAATGACAGTACCCATAGGATCCATGTATGCTATATATGGTAACATTTACCATCAATATACCAGCACCATGGATATATGGGGTAAAGATGTCATCTGTTTTCCATGTGACACACGTGGTGTTTTCCAACGGACCATCCCCGGTAGTGCGACCAAGGTGCTTGTCTTCGAATTCCGACTTGTCTGGCCTCAGGTTGGCTCACTTAAATGGTGATTATTATAGGAAAATAGTGATTTACCAGTTTTCCTATGTAGGAAAATCATTGAAGTAACAGTATCTATATAATTATATTCATACATATATTATAAATTATATTAACATATGTAAAGGCCATCTATACCAGAAACTATGTTGAATTACCAGAGGGATACTCAATTACCGGAGAGGGTACCCGGGCACCCCAAATTTGATGGATGATTTTGTCTGCGAACCATGGATGATGTTGATGTGGTTCCGGATATCACCTTCATTCATAAAAGAGATTACTTGACGGCTCGTCTTCAATAAAACAATTCAGTTGATGTTTGAAACATGCAACATTTAGAAACCCTTAAACAAATATCTTGACAGATATGCATTTACCTTCCAACAAGTTCCAAAGAATCTGATGTGTATTTATCAAGTCGTTCAGCCTCGATCAAAGAGCCAGCCAGGCACTTTTTAAATCTTTTTAACGTGGTGAATAGTGTGTGTCGACACATGATTCAAAAAAACAACAACTTGGAATCTTGGAATCCCACTGAGTCACTGATTCCAATATTCCAAAAAAAATGGTTGGAATCTCTTGGAATCTTGGAATCCCACTGAGTCACTGATTCCAATATTCCAACAAAAAAAAAGGTTGGAATTTCTTGGAATCTTGGAATCCCACTGAGTCACTGATTCCAATATTCCAAAAAAAAAAGGTTGGAATTTCTTGGAATCTTGGAATCCCACTGAGTCACTGATTCCAATATTCCAAAAAAAAAAAGTTGGAATTTCTTGGAATCTTGGAATCCCACTGAGTCACTGATTCCAATATTCCAAAAAAAAAAAGGTTGGAATTTCTTGGAATCTTGGAATCCCACTGGGGGCCCAAGATGAACTTCCCCCTTTCTTGGCCCAAGAAACTGTGTGTCCTCGGGTTGGATGATCTCATCGAAGAGGTTGGAACAACTTTCCTGAGTCCCGGAGATCATCGTCCGGGTGAAGCGAAAAACCGATGTTTTAAACACCACCAGCCAGCTTCACTCTGGGAGGAATATCTGGATGACTGTTGAATAATGTTGAATAAAAGGAAAAGCCTGGTACTCTGAGTTTCTCATACCAATAGTTTTCTGGAAGGCAAACTGCTTGTCTTCATAAATCGTGCCTATAGTGGTCATGATGATCAGAATGATCACCATGATGCTTTCTGTCAGGAGGATACGTATCATGATGATAGTGAGGATGATGAGGAACACGATGAACATAACGTATGATTTTGTCTGAGAAGTTTGCGTACTCCATTCCATCCACTGGTTTATCATGTCATTTTCCATCAACATGTATCAACATTGCCACTTGGGGGATACAACCTGTCAGACACACTGGAATATTTAGACATGTTGGTTCTACAATGTTATACATCCCATATCATCCCATTCAATCCCATATATTGGTTGATCTGTTTCCAATCAAATCCTATGCCTTGCAGTGCCCCGGTGCCCGCCTCTCGTACCATGCCGGTGTCTCCTGGAGTCACCATGGGGACCCTGCGACTGTTACGTGTGTAGCACGGGTATTTGATGGGTATTTCATGTGGATACACAGATATACACAGTACATGTTATGGGATATGACCAAGCAACTTGATATACCTTGATATGGTATCTGGTTGATGGTTGACCTACCCCTCTGAAAAATATGAAAATCAGTTGGGATGATTATTCCCAGTATTTATATGGAAAAATAACCCAACTGTTCCAAACCACCAACCAGGTATTTCAGTTTAAGAGTGGAAATGTGTTGCAGTCACCCTAATTTACGGCAATTTAACCGGGACTATGATGATGAACCAGCGGATGGCGGCTGGGGCTTTCCCAAAGCCATCTGTGAAAACCCCAATGGACTCACAGCTATCCCCCATATAATTAAAGGGTAGACAATGGAAGATTTACAGTATAAAATAGATCTAAAATCAGTACCATTGTTTTTTTTAGACCATGGTACAGTATACCGTTGATACAATGGTGATCTAACATCTAAAATATCACCCCATGGAAGCTCTGGCGTCGCCGGGGGCCGCTCCTGCAATGCTTGAATTGTGAGGCGTTGGATCCTTGGTTCCCCCAGAGTTCCATCGGAACTGTCGCAAAATCCACCACCAAATGAGGATGGATTTTTCACTGGTTGGTGGTTGATATGGAAAGTCATAAGAGCCATGTTCCAAACCACCAAGCAGTTCATGTTTTTTCATCCGAAATCATAGGATGTCAAAAAACCACCTATCAACTGAAGCACCATGGCATGAGGCATCTGAGCCCATGGCATGAGGCTCGACAATTTCTGGGGCATCTGGCACGCTTTGGGCAGCACCAATGGACCCAAAGGCTGGCTGTTTTGAGTATGAAACCATCGGTGCTGGAAGAGTTCATATACTTTTAAGCGATACCCAAACTGCCCGAAAGCAATGGGCCGACGGATTCTTGGCAAACACACATTCGGGAACAGTACTGAACTGAATCACACACAATGCTATTTTGACCATGGATTTGGACCATAATCCAACAAAAAAATAGAATCCGACTATATACTTATTTCCCACAAACGTGTGGATCTACAACTAACATTCATGTTCTCCAAAATGACCACCTGCCGGTTTCTGGCCCCATTTCATGATCAGCTATACCATGAGCCCAGTAT